TGCCCTCTTCATAGAAACTTGCCACAAGCTCCCATAACCAAAAGTTCACTGCCGTATACGTCGTCATCATTGTAATGATTGTTCCTGAGGTGATGTTTGAGGTGGAGGAACAGATAGTAATCGCTCGGTGCAGGATCGGGACTGTAGGGTGGGTGGTTTAAAACTTCTCAGCCAAAACGACAGTGAACTTTTAGTTATGGGAGCTAGCGGCAAGTTGCTATGTCTATAACTAAACTAAATATCAATAAGTGTAAAGTCCTTACTTTTACTAGATCGAAAAATCCCTTACTTTTTGACTATAAGATGAATGGAAAGGTCTTACTAAGAGTCACCTCCATTAAGGACCTGGGCGTGTTTTTCAATACCAACCTTAACTTCAACTTACACATTGAATACCTAACAAATTAGTGTTACAAACTTCTTGGTTTCGTTATCAGAAATACACTCAATTTCACGAATATACAGACAATGCTAACCTTATATAATGCGTTTATTAGATCCAAGCTTGAGTATGCTGCATGTATCTGGTCTCCTCAAACTCTCAAATACTCAGACATGATCGAAAAAGTGCAGAAAAAGTTCATCCGAATAATGTTTTTTAGGTCATCCCAAAATTATCCACATTTGATCTCTTACGGTACCCAGCTTAATTACTTAAATAGTACTTTCGGCTTAAATATAACGAGGTTAGAAACCCGACGGTACATTGCCTCCACAATTTTTGTCTTCAAAATTTTACACAATTTGCTAAACTCTTCCGAATTACTTCAAGAAATTAAGTTTAAGGTACCATTTGTTAAGCTAAGGCAAAATGATACTATTTTTGCAGTTAACAACACAACTTCCCCACTTATTAAGACCTTGATCACTTTAAATAAGTTGACCTCAGTTAATGATACCGACTTTTTTCACGATCCCTTAAATTCAATAATAAATCAAATTAGATCTTAAGTCCTAATGTTTGTTCAGAGCCCCAGTGCCATGTAATTGGAGTTTTTATTCTGTATAGTTTCTGGTTAAACAAATAAATAAATAAAAATGAACTTTCAAATTCGTTGAGAGGTATGATAAGTGTTTGAACAAACTTGGCGACTATGTCAAAAAATAGAGTAAAGTACGTACTTTCTGAAAATAAATTTAGTTTATTTGAAATAACTTTTCGTGGTGTACTTATGTTAAAACGGTACTTACTTGAAAAACATGCCCTGTATGTATTATACGCTACATATGCATACTGCAAAATTGAAGATATTTTCGATATTTAATAGAATGGCGCTAAAATTAATAAACAAGTACCTACCTAATGCAGTTCCTCTTTTTACTGCAAGGGACGGGTGAAATCTATATTTGCAAACAAATTAGTGGAGGACTAGTCAATCTGGTTCTTGTTAGAAAACTCAGAGGACTGAGGAATACAATGCAACGACTCATATTTCAATGTCGTACCGTTAGAGGGAGAACATTCACGGACGGACGGACGGACAAATCGCTGATAGTTATTTTTTTTAATTTGTTTAAAAAGGTGGCTTCAACCTTGCCCTTGATGCTTTGTTATTTCACATTTCCCATGCAAAATTAATGTGTAAAACGCGATTCAACAATACAACAATCGGAGTGCTGCATACTAACAATAAATTCTGATATACTAACGTACACTAACAAAATACTGACGATAGGTAATATTTTTAATGTATTTGACTTTAGTAGCGGAGCCAGGGTGAAGTTGGCACTGTAATTTTGAATTTTTTATAAACATTGAAGGCATTCTATACTAACGAAAATGTTTCTTTTACTAACGTATACTAACAAATGAAATAACTCTGGATGCGGCACGATACAGTGTCAGAGCCAACTTCACAGACCTCTTGTTTTGTTTAGATTATTTGTTTTGAGTTAGTTTGTAGTGTATATTTTCAGTTTACAAAACATGTTTTCCTAGTGTTGTTTATTTATTTAACTAATAATTCGATTTTCCATTATTGAATTTCTCTTGACAATACCTCTATGGCGTTGGGCACGTTCCTGAATGGGCTGATTCCTTACATTAACTTCTGCAAGTGGTGTGTTTATTGCTGTTTCGTCTTCTCGTAAAGTGCATATATTGTGAATAATGTAACATGCTACATACAACGTGATCAACAATCTCTGACCCAAAAAAATTTTAAGGTACATGCTAGCAATATTTACTTGCACCTTTGACATTCCTGAACGCGGCCCTGCTATTTTATGACATATACACAACCTCTCTTGTTTGTGTTTATTTACTCCTTTTTACAAAAGGTAAGGAAATTATTTCTACCGCTGGTTCATTTTTTGTCGTTTTAGCAGAATATTCTGTCAATATAATGCCTTTTATATACAATTCGATCAAATAGATCATTATTTTGAAATAGCTATCGCAATATGGATGGACTTTGTGTCCACGTCTGGTGTTCTGCAGGGCTCAAACTTGGGCCCTTTTCTTTTTTTGATATTTATTAACGACCTCTCTTCGCACCTATCTTCGCAGAACCTTTTATTTGCCGACGACTTGAAAATATTTACGAAAGTATCCTGTGTGAATGATTGTTATCGGCTTCAAGAGGATCTAGATAATCTACATCAGTGGTGCGAAAGTAATAGACTACGCTTGAATATAAGCAAATGCAAAGTAATTACATTCTCCCGTAAGCGTACAGATATTGAGTTTGATTAGCATTACCAATACTCCCTTACTTAGGACTAGCTATGTCAAAGACTTAGGCGTCGTGTTAGATAAACGTTTATCCTTTTCACTCCATGTAAATGAAGTAGTCAAACAATCTTTGAAGGCCCTTGGGTTTATAATTCGGTCAAGCATGGACTTTGAAGACGTTTCTACTATCAAGTGTCTATACTGTGCTCTTGTCCGATCTAAGTTGGAGTACTGTGCTTGCATTTGGCAACCATACTTTAGTAAATATATCGAACAAATCGAAAAGGTTCAACGACGATTCTTAAAATATCTATTTTTTCGATGTGAGGGACGATATCCAGTTAGAGGATATCCCCGAATCGCAGATGCTGGAAAAGTTTAATCTATTACCACTTTGTGTTAGACGGAAACGTATTGGTATGGCGTTGTTCTTCAATCTAATGAATAATAATACTGACTGTATAGCACTACATAATTACATAAAACTAAGCATACCAAGATTGTCGGCAAGGCGTGCCCTCACGTTTCACATACCAAAGTGTAACACAATTAGCCTGAAGAATTCGCCACCCTGTGTCACAATTATAATTATAATTTAATATGTCATATAGTAGACATTTTTAATTGTACATTAAAAACGCTAAATAGCTTCTTAGTTTGAAATAATATTTTTTGTTTTTATTTTTGTTTTAGTTTATACACAGTAATTATTGCATTTTCGTTCACTTATATACCTGATCTTTAGTTTTATATCTAATTAACATATTCGTTGTCACAGAATTCTATAGTTTTATTTTTAGTTAATTGCACTTCAACGTTTTTACTGTTTCTTTAAACATTTTGAAGTTGTCCAATATTGGTGTAATTGCTGTATGGACAATAAAGATTATTATTATTATTATTATTATTATTATAGAAGAGGACAAGAGTAACCGTAAAAGAAACGTTTCTGTCTCTATTTCTGTTCATAGACAACATCCACCATCTCGTCTTTAATTTCTGTTTTTTTTTATTATTACTCAACATCAATAATTGTATTGAAGAAAGAAGTAAACAACCACTTGCGACCACCGTATCGTAATCGTTGGCGTCCATGTTCTTAATGTTGGCATATAATCGCTACATATTGGCCATGTCCACGATACACTCACGCATGCCCTATGTTGGAAGTTGGCGATTTGGCATAATTTACATGATAACTTATTAATTCCTTATAGAGAAAGGCCTCAAGCATATATAGCTAAGAGGGATTTGGTTTGTGAGAGACTACGTATAAGAGTTGCATTTTAAGACTGAATCAATTAGTTCATGACAACTGCCATCAATGTCATGTGAGATTCATGAGTATGGTACTGTTCTATGCGTAACAGAATGGCTCTATGTTCCCATTTGAATGCTAAAATACATATCTTCAGGTAATTTTATTTAGCTAGTAGCATATGTTAAATTCACATTTTAATAGGTTTGAATGAGTAGACCTAAGTCGCCCTTTAACCGCAAGGATAGATAAAGGGAAACATATTACTATGTATTCTAGTGATATCTGTCATTCATAATTTAAATAGGACGCGGAGCGCGATATAAAATGACGTTCACAACCTAAGTTTGCTATTTTTGACGTCTAAATTAAATTCAGAATTGTCAGAAGACAAATAATTGAGTTATTAATAGGTTAAGAAGCACAAAAGCATTTTAAATTATTGCGTGAAAAATACATCCGTATAAAAAGAGACATTGATAGAAATCAACGCAGTGGACCTGTAATTATCGACATATGGTATTTGTTCGATCTCATTATGTTTTAAGTGAGATCACAAAACCTAGAAAGTATAAATTTCAGTTCGTATGAACTTGCAAGATTTTAACTAAGGAACTTCAACCGTTTTGTAAAAGTGCAAGATCGTATATTACAAACTAGTTACACTTTTCGGATAAAGTTAAAAACATTGAATTAAATACAAGTGATATTCCTACGTTACGTCCTGTTTACAAAAGTTCCAATTGAAGAATCCACTAATCCGGATCTTATCAAATTAATGGAACATTGCAAAAGTAAAACAAAAACACCAATATACCACAATAATATATTAGAACTTCTAACGCGTTTCGATAGCAAGACTGTCATCATCAGCGAACAACTGAACAATAAAATGCAAGTACGACCCTATTTATACTAATTACAAGTGAAAGTTTACGAGCTCTGTTTGGCCTAAAGGACCTCCCTCATCATTATTCATTGGGAAGCGTCTTTTTTTACGAATCTCTAAACTTTCAATCAATCTAATCTATTTTGACGATTTACCTGTTTAACTAGGCAAATGTCAACTATAACACAATTTTCAAGTATATGTGCGACAACGCTAGGGTTGTCCCAACGATTATTTTTGGTGGGCTGTGCTCTTTAAATATATCGTCGGCTTAATCCGCAAATGTTGTAAGTCCACTTTTACTTGAAAATTACATTTTGGCGCCATCTGCTTGTCCTGGATTGCATCCATTTATACAAAAAAAATAACGCAACTAAAAATTAAATAACCCTGCTTTTTCGACCGATTAACTTTAGACGTAAGTCCTTGTCGCTGTAGTTAGTAGGCAATAGTCGTATGTCCATGAACAGTAATGGCGTTTGTGTCACTGTGTAATTAACGACGGCTGAGTACTCAAATTAGGTGCTGTGTGGCAATGGATGATACCAAAATTGCAGCTGTAAGTATTATAAAGAGTTTTTAAAGTAGTGTTATTTCTCCAAACAATGTTTTATCTACATGGGTGTGGTACAAACTTGTGAGTGGACTTACGTCGTTTTCCACTTAGTGATATTTTTCCTGTTCTATCGTGAAACTGACGTATGTCCACATTGTAAGGACTTACGTCGTTTTCTGTACCTGTGAGAATATAAAAATTTAATGTTGTTTAGGTGAAATTACTTAACATAATTTTTGTAAGATCTATACTAAAAGGTTTTTTTCCCAGAAAATGCTTAACAGCAGAAGTATGAAAATTTTGAGGATGCTCAAACCCTTAACAGAAGATCATGAGTGCAATGTTACTGGTCAAGTTTCGGACAAAGAAAATGTTGCACCAAGTCAAAATACTGATGAGCATGTTAAACGATGCGAAGTGCAAAACATTGCAAATTACTACCAGCAAGAAATAGAAAAATCCCATGACATAATAGTGATACCTGTCATTAACAGCAATATTACAACCGAGTCTGATTTGTGCAATAATACCTCTTTGCCAGAAAATGTCGCATTCAATGAAGAGATTGAAGGTGATCTGTTGTTAGATATCCCAGAAGTAACAAATTTTCTATTAACTGATCAAACTCAGAGAGCAGGCTGCGATGAAACTTTAATTAATTTACCACAAGGGGACACGAACTGGGAAAAGGAAAATTCTTCTGCTTCCAGTGATCATTCCGTGCGAGGTTATACAAATGATCTTGACTATGGTAGCATAGATAGCAACGACCTGGATAAATCAAATTCGGATTCAGACAATAACAATCATCGTACAAAAAGAAGGAAGAGACATTTTGTAGATTCAAATACCTGGAATGAAACAGCCCAACAAAGAAAACGCGAAAGTGGACAAAAATATAAGGGAAAAAAGAAGGTGGACGGTAAGTGGGTTTACAATGTAAAAAGGGAAGAAAGAAAATTAAAGGAAAGATGCAACTGTAAATTATCCAAGAACACGACGCAACTTAAATGTAGCAGTATCACTGATAGTGATAGGATGCAAATATTTACCACATTTTGGTCGAAAATGAGCTGGCTCGAGAGAAAGGTGTATATGAGTTTTTTAGTGAAAAGGATTGCTGTAAAGAGACAACGTAATCGCAAGGACGATAATATTTCAAAAAGAAGTACGTCACTTGAATATTATTTAAAGCTGGACGATGAAAAGATCAGAGTTTGCAAAAAAAATGTTTTTAAATACTCCTGGTGTTGGAGAAAAGATGGTTTCAAACTGAATCAAGCAAAGAAAACTTGATAAGACGACGACAGTTGGTACAGATGATGTAAAGTGTCAATCCGCGGTTACCATGAATGATCAATACAGACATAAAAAAATTCTTCTTGCAGAGTTTTTTAAGGAGCTGCCAAAAGTCGAATCCCATTACTGCCGAGCCTCCACTCAAAAGCTTTACCTTGAACCAAATTGGCGTACCAAAATGGAATTATATAGATTTTATAAAGATGAATGGTGTGTAAGCAAAAAAACGCAGGCACTTTCCATTGCATCATTTCACCACGTGTTCCAGGAAGCAAATCTGGCTCTGTTTACACCAAAAAAAGATGAATGTGATATTTGCATCTCATACAGAACTGGAAATATATCAGAAGAGGTTTATAACATTCATCAAGAAAAAAAGCAAGAAGCCAGATTACAAAAAGTGCAAGATAAAACTTCAAACAACAAGATTTTTTGTATCGATCTCCAGTCAGTACTGCTCAGTCCCAAATCCAATGTATCCTCGCTATATTTTAAAACGAAATTAATTGTACATAATTTCACTGTGTACGATATGAAAACGTCTGAGGGATATTGTTATCTATGGCATGAAGCAGCAGGAGGAGTGACTTCAAATAATTACGCCAGTATCATCTGCACGTTTTTAGAGCAACACGTTGTAGGAACTTTACAATCTGGACAGCACATAATCTTGTACAGCGATGGATGTGCTGCCCAAAACAGAAACGTCACTTTAAGTAACGCTTTACTGAACTTGTCAATACTTCATAATGTTACCATTGAACAGAAGTATTTAGAGCGCGGCCACACGCAGATGGAGGTGGATTCTATGCACTCAACAATTGAATAACAGCTACGAAACAGGAAAATAAATGTACCAGCAGATTATGTTCAAGTGTGTCTAAAAGCTAGGCAGAAGCCACGTCCTTATAAGGTGAAATATTTAAACTTCAGTTTTTTTAAAGTTTGACGACTTGCAGTTTTTAACGTCTTTACGCCCAGGACGAAAAGTTGGCGATCCAACTATAACCGATATAAGAGGGCTTCGTTACCTACCAGATGGCCAGTTGTTTTACACTTTAAGACATGGACAAGAATACGAAAACTTAAATAACGGCAAACGTGGATCTTCTAAGTCTGTGTCAATGGCAGTTGCCATAGAAAACCTTCCACAACTATATAAAGGCCCAATACCGATTAAAAAGGAAAAATATGAACATCTACAGATCTTAAAGAAGAGTCTGGATAATGATTATCATGGTTTTTATGACGCCCTTGCATACAAATAATTTAAGTAGGTACCTATACATAATGTAAATATTTGTCATTTTAGTTCTTTTGTTTTACAAACCAAAGTTTTTCATTTCTTTTAGTAACAAACGCTGTTTATTTTAAATACTTTAATTGTTAAAGATTTAAATAAAACATTCAAAGAAAATGTTGTAAGTCACTTGCTGTTTAAAATATATTGATGAGAAATGTCCAATTAAATTTTGATTAAACATTTTTTTGTCTACAAAATGGTTCCTGATGCTGCACAAATGTGAATTAACTGAAAGTATAGAAAGTGAAGATCCGAATCTGTCAATGTGTAAGTTTTAAAAAGTTTTTTTGCTCTCCTGTAAAGTTGTCATAAATGGACTTGAGACGTTTGCGGATTAAGCCGACGATATATATATATATATATATATATATATATATATATATATATATATATATTAATATATATATGTATATAGCACAGCCCACCAAAAAAAATCGTTGGGATAACTCAGCGTTATCGCACATATACTTTTATATATAATATATAAGTATATGTGCGACAACGCCGAGTTATCCCAACGATTATTTTTGGTGGGCTGTGCTCTTTAAAATATATATATATATATATATATATATATATAAACATTTTAAAAACATTTGAGTTAATTAATTTGTCCGTTTGCTTTGATGAAATACATACGCATTTCTCAATGTTTTGATTTAATTACATTAAAACTAAAATATCTTGAAATCTGAGAACTTCAGAATGTTAAGACCCTATACCATTTTGAAGCAGCTCGTTTAGAGGATCATAAAAAACTAAAAAAAAAATACAGGGTGTTCAATTAAAAAAATATGCTCAACATGACAACTTGAAACGACGTCATTCGAAAAAATATCTGTGTACGTCAAAACATGCATAATATCAAACAACTTTCATATCACACGTTATTCAATATAACGAATGGTTAAGGCTGTAGCTAAGGTGGTTTTAGATTTATCAGACAGTGTTCCACATCCAGAATATCACATCGTTTATTTAGATACCTTCTACACCAGTCATAGTCTTATGACGACTACGCTACGGGCACGGTACGCGGCGCAATGGTACTAAAAACGGTCCCTTGCCAGGCGAAAAGCAAATGAAGAAAGAATCTCGCTACAATTACAAATCTTATACGATAGTGAAAATTTTCTGACATGCTTGACGTTCTTGAAAATCCCTTCAGTACACTTAATTCAGAATTTAAACGTTCTAAGTACCTACTATGAGCAGTCTGAATGTTTTATTAAACCTATAGAGAATTTTTTATGCGTTTTACTTCGCGTCCAAAAATAGCAACAGTGGTGAATTAGTGCTAAAAGTTAACAAGATACGAAGAACCTCATACGATTTTCATTAGGGAAATTTTTTGCCACTCCGCTCGTATTCGGTTGATCCGGCTCATATTCAACATTAATCCTTTGTAACGTTTCAAGATTGAGCGTTTAAATTTTAAATTGAAATTGGCGGTGAAGAGTTTTAAGAGTTAAGCGATAGTGGGAGCGGGTATGGACTTTTCTGCGGAGACTGTCTAAGATAACGCAAGCGAAAAGTCGTACTTTAATTGTTTGAGTTTTATTCTACAGCGAATTCAATTAATTTATTCGGTACTACAGATTATATTACGTAAGTTGTATATTTATTTTGGGTTTAGTAAGAAACAACTTCGTTTTTAGGACAATTTGCGAATCATTTAAGGCCCTGTTGCGAATAGAACCTTCATCACAAAATTAAGTTACAGAAATAACTTAACACCTGTTGGCCACATGGATTAAATGTCGTAATTTTTGTCTTTTTGGCTTGTTTTGTATTTTGGAATATGTAATCCTAGTCAACTTTGTAATAATAGAGCTATCCCAGCAAACACAAATGTTTCAATAAGATCTCCGAGATGTTGCAACTAAAGCTCTGATGAGATGTGTCGATGAGACGTATATTAGATGTTTTTGAATCCTTAATATCGCATGTGTCTGAGATGTCACATTTTCAATGCCCCAGGGATAGTTCGCCTAGTGCTCAATACAAACATCTCAGTGGGACTTGTATGCCATATCGCTGGGACTAAACAGAGGTATCTGAAAAACGTGTCATCTAGCTCCCAGAGCTGTATCAATACGGTCTCTGAGATGTCACAACTAAAGCTCAAATGCTATGTCTCTACGAGGTACAAGCCGAATCACCGGGATTAAACAAAGACGTGTCAGAAATATATCATGTATCTAACGTAGATGTTTCAATAAGAGGTGCTGTAAAATATATGTAACTTCTCAACGCGACACACGTACGTGTAGTAGTAATATAACGGGTGATTCATATAATGATTGCGGACAATTTGAATTTTCAGTTGGGTACACAAAACATTCATAAAGTGGGTCACATGCCAAATGTCATTTATTTAAATGCGGATTAATTTAATGGATAATGCCAATGCCTTACGTAAAAACCACTAAAATCTACAATCAGTAGGTTTTGTACATCAAGAACTTAATTATTACCGAAGCGGGTCGTTGATGAGATATGAATTTCGAACCGAATCATAACAGACAAATTTATTTCATATTACTAACTTAGATATATCTGTTAAAATACCATAGCTGAACTAATTTTTAATAAATACGATTTTTAGATAGGTATAGTATGAATTAAATATAATTTTTGGGGTTTATTCGTTTTTTTTTTCAGTAGGCCACGAAATATTATAATCGCCGTGCGAGTACAAAGTCAACAACTTTGTAAATTCTTTGAATTGAATCTTGTTTACTTAAGGTACCTGTTTAGCGGATCGAAAAGTGTGCTTAACCGGTTCTAGGGTGGATATTCGTTTTCGTTTTAAGGGTCGTTCATTCATTGATTTCGTGCGCGTCCTCGTGATTGTTAATTTTGATTTGTGTTCGTGATTAGGTACATTTCCGGAATCCGGTTGGTTTGAAGGCATCACTATAGGTAAGTACGTACCTAATCTATCTATTTTTGTTTGTGTATTTAATTAAGATTGAAATTATATAAGCAAAGATAAATGCAAGTTTTTCGATTTTGATGCACATTAGATAGATGGACAGGCGAATTACTATAAAATCTTAATATTTGTGTGAATATGTAATCACCGGCAATAAATTAGCGAAATTTCAGACAAATTCCGTTTACACAATCAATGGAACGTGTGGGTTAAAAATATTGAAATTAAGAAATTTCTCCCTGTAACTGTAAACAGTTTACTGTAGATTTTGGCGCTGAACTGTTTTTTCGCATTTGTCCTTACGGGTCACGGAATTATTATCCTGATGAGCGTACTTCTCGCGATCAATATCCAGTGAATTTTTACCCTACTGATGATGACCACTTAGTGGTCGAAATACGTATTTAGGTTTTTTTAAAACTTATTGTGGTAAAGGGAGAAATTTCTTAATTTCAAAATTCCGTTTAGCCTAGGGTTGGTATAAGGAAACAAAATTGCCGTTTCTACAATACAATTTTGATTCTATACAATCACACAATGTATAAACTAGAAAAGGATTTAGTTTAATTTATAATGTTAAACATTACTTAAGCAATTTGGAATTGAAAACAAAGTGTTGTTCAAGATCTCTAGGGGTATGTATCTGTTTCACGCAAACCGTTGCCTAAAAGTATTCAAGCTCTCATTGACAATATGAATCTGAAAAGTTGCTACCAATATAATTTTTCATAATTTATTGAAGGAAAATATTATCGTGATCGTTACATTTCCGGTTATACCGGATGTCGATAGCAATTTTTTTATTTTGAATAGAACACCCCATATTTTATCGCATTTTAGAAATCTACATGAAAATCTACGTCTTTTGATAGAGAGAAAATATTTTTGATAATCTAATTGACTCGTAACTATGGATCACTGTTTTTTTGTAGCGTAGGCTGCATAGTAAATTCCGAGATAAATGCCGCAAAAAGCAATATGGGCACGATGCCCGTTTTTAGCGCATTTTTTTTAATAATTAACACACGATTTACCCGTCATGGTATTCTAAGGAAAGGACTCATCAAAAGGAATTGGTTTCTATACAAACTATAAGTGTACCACAATATTGTTGGTGAAAATTTAACTTAATTGGTATAACATTCATAATTGAGTTGACTTCACATGAGGTACTTATTTTGCATCTATGCTGGGAATGCATCTTATACTGAGGTTGCCATATTCTTTTGTGTTTTCGAAGGTCTAAGTAAAAAGGTACGTCATGAGCAAGAAAAGGAAGCCATTTTGTGATCTATCCGATAGACAAAAATGGAGACTAGTGGAAAGAGAGATGAATCCTAACACAGCCATTTGTTCGCGTGCCACTGTTTCAGTCCCAACTCCAAACCATATAATGGAGAAAACATCTCCAATTCCGGTGGACAATTACGTTATAGACCAGGGCTGCGATACCGCTACTTGGTTGGGTTCTGCATCATCAATAGGTTAGCAATAATTTACATGACAAAAAACATCAAAACTTCCTGCTTTAGGTGAACATAGTACAGGCACTAGTTTGCCAGCTGCTCATTCCCAGGCTAATTCGGTAAACTCGGAAACATTCAGTGTTTATGTAAAAGATATTGAAACTAACACATATGATAGTTCTAGTGGTTTACAAGAAGATCTGAGAACATGGGTTATCAAGTATTCACAAATACCCAGAACTGCAGTGAATGATTTGCTGGCTTTGCTAAGAAGGAATGGTCACTGTGATTTACCAAACGATTCCAGAACATTATTGAGTACACCCAGAAACTCAGCCAATTTTATCGAAACATTTAGTTCAGGTCGTTACGCACACTTTGGAGTGTATGAGCAATTGAAAGACTCTATCGTGAAACACTACCCTAAAAACCAATACCCTACTGAAGTGAATCTACTTATAAACATAGATGGGCTACCACTGTCAAAGAGTTCAGCTATTCAATTTTGGCCTATACTATGTGCTATCCTTTCTAGTGAATTCTACACAACCCCATTCCCTATAGGAATTTTTGAAGGAAATACGAAACCAGATGACGTAAACCAATTTTTAAAAAAATTTGTAGACGAAACCAATACCATTCTACAGTCGGGTATAATTTTAGATCATAAAACCATTGTGGTAAAACTGCACGCTATTGTGTGTGATGCTCCAGCCAAGGCGTACGTATGTGGTATAAAAAACCATACAGGCTATTTTGGTTGTCCCAAATGTATTCAACAAGGCGAATTCATTGAAAATAGGGTTGTGTTTACCGAGACAAGTTCAAGTGAGAGAACTGATGCATCATTTAAAAACAGAATTCACCCCGAACACCATAGAGAAACGACAGCATTGGAAAAATTACCCATAGGAATGGTATCACAAGTGGGACTGGATTATATGCATTTAGTTTGCCTGGGTGTTATGAAACGTCTGCTTCAGTTTTGGGTGAAAGGAAAATTAAATATCAGATTGAAGCCAAATAAATTGGAAGAAGCTTCCAGTAAACTAATATCGATGAGAGCCTATATTACTCTAGAATTTGCACGACAGCCAAGGAGTTTAAATGAAATTGATCGTTGGAAGGCGACAGAGTTTCGACAATTTCTGCTGTATACGGGGCCAATTGTAATGAATAATATATTGTCTGTGAAAACCTATAGACACTTTATGTGTTTAAGTGTAGCTATTAGAATATTGTGTGATGGTAATTCTGATACTGACTTGATAGATTATGCACATAACTTGCTTCTATATTTTGTACGAAAATATGGAAATATGTATGGATTACATTATCTATCATATAATGTACATAATTTGATACATTTAGCGCAAGATGTAAAGAGATTGGGACAGTTAGAAAATTTCAGTGGTTTTAAATTTGAGAATTACTTATATAACTTAAAAAGAAAGCTCCACATATCGGGTAGACCCCTTGAACAAATATGCAACAGAATTATAGAGGAAAAGAATCACAACAGAAATGTTTTACAAAAGTATCCTATTTTACATTCCAAGCTTAATGTAATTTACAAAGCAGAGTTTGAGTCGTTCACCCTAACTACGACTGCACCAAATAGTTATTGTATCCTTTATGACGGGAGAGTTGTAAATATTTTGAAAATATCTCAGAAAACTAATGTCTTATGTTTCACCGTGAACACATACAAAACTAATAAATCTTTTTTTTCTGTTCCATGTAAATCAGAAAGTTTAGGCATTTTGTATGTAGCAGATGTGATGGAAGACACTTTTGAAATACCATTTTCTGATATAAAAAATAAATGTATGTGCCTTAAATATTTAGATGGATATGTTGTTATGCCATATTTGCATTAATTACCAATTGTAAAATTATGTTGTACATTTTATTAACCACTGTATAAATGTACCTATACTCTACTTACTAACACTTAATCACACCATTTCTATACTATCTATAGGAAGAAAATTATGTCTTTAAAAAAATTCGCAGTGGTGTATTTCGAAGAAAACGAATCTTTCTCCGAAATTCCATCCTCATGGTTAAACGAGGACATGAAATATTGCAAGTGGCCAAAATCGCTGAATCCCACAGCGTTAATGGTTAAGGGGATAGAACCCTCTGACACATGGGGGAATTATAAAGTTAGAGTTGAGAAGTTTTATGGTAAATTTTGTCAGATATTGCTTACATGTTTTAGTTATTACGCTCATTATAGATACGCTGGAAGCTGCACGAAAGCATGCTGGAACAGATTACACATCAAGTGAAGAGGTCGAAACTGGAAGGGGGAAAAGAAAAAAGACCAGTGTAACTAAATCAACGTCTACTGACGATGAAGAGTCTACTAAAGGTTCGTCAAAATTTTGTGATTACTTACATTAACGTTAAATTGTCCATTTTAGATAGTCCACCTCCAACTCTTAAGAAAAGGAGATCTTCGCCACGTTTCTCTAAGCGAGAAAACACACGCCAATCTTCTACGAATAACGGTAAGCTCTTTGTGCGACTTTTTAAAACGTACTAAGCAGAAGTCAACTTACTTTAGAGATTTTTGTACTTAACCCGTTATCACATTAACGTATCAATTTAACAAAGAACCGTTACTAAGAGTTGAGAATCTCCAAAAATTTATACTAAATTATTTCAGTTAATAATAATGAAAACTTGCTATCATCATCGCAAGAACATGGACAAAATGTACCGATGGCATCAAATACAGGCAGCATCATTGAATCTAATGAAGGTATTGTCATTATGATAATGATTACACTTCTTGAAACTAATGGTAGGATTATTCAAGGTGCAGACCAGATACGTCCACTAGACAATTCCATAGTGCTCGATTTTGGAAATTCCACGTTGCAGGAACTAATACATACTTGCGATCACAGACACGATTTTGGTATGTGAATATTTACAAATAGAAACAAGTTATAAAAATAATTTATATTATGCTTCAGACAATATTCATACAAACATGAAAAAAATATTCGTGCAGATAAAATCTCTGGAATCCAGATTGGAACAATTGAACAATCAAAACCAAACATTATATCAATAAACACAGAGGAGGTTCAGACAAAGCTCCCATTAAATACGCTAGAGGAATTAAGCACCTTGGAAAACATTGTGGCTGAGGAAGGGGAGTTTTCACATAAATTTGTGAGTTGTATAATTTACTCAACACTAAGGTTTTCATTCTTTTATTTTAGACCTCATACTTACAAACCATTGGCGGCAAAAATGCAAAAGACGCCCTAGTTAACATGCTTCGGAAAGTATTCACCAATAAATTAGCAGTAAGCTGCTCCTGGCATGGCCTTAGGGGGAATTTTAAATTATCAAATTTAAAATTTATGAACAGGATAATAGGTAAGATATTTGTTTAATATTTTTATTACTATCCGATGCCTATGTTAACAGCTGCTGAACAACGTATGTATAACAGCATCCAAGAGCACGAAATAATTACCATTATAAATGATTGGTTTCGTCAAGCTAGATTAAGAGAAACCAGGGAAAGAAATTAGCAGCCTAATAAATGTAATAATAATAAATGTTGCTTTTTTGTTTTTATTTTACCATATTGGTATCTTAGTTTTTTAATTATATCCCGTAAAATAAGAATTTCCTTGTTTAATAAGTGTGCTCATACATAAATAGTTCTTTGTAATAAATTATTTACTTTTTGCGTGACGTTCTAATTGAGGTAGTTAGTAAACCCTTACTTCAGGTATTTATCGTAGATATCTCGTCAGTTCATTTATACTTATACCAGAAACATGTCATTATACACATATACTTTATATCTATTAAGATATCTAGGTATATTGTATAGGTACTTAAAGAACGATGCCCATTTTAGATGTTAGGGGAGTCCATTAAACTCTAAAACACTGTGTTATATAACACTGATAGCTTATTTTATTCGAATTCGTCTTTTATTAATATTTCATCATTAGAAAAAAAACGTTTCTAAAAGCTGGCGTAGCTAGTACGTAATCATGGTAATAGAATCAAAAAAATTAGGTAGGTACGGAAAATTATTCAAAGATGTCTCATTCATGCGTCTATGGCCTGTCTTTAACACCTCATCCAAGTATCCGAGATGTCTCATTCACGGGCTTAGTGATGTACCAATAGCATTTCCGTGAAGTGGCTGAGACATAAAATAGATGATTCAAAGGTGTCTCATTCATGCGTCACTTGGTGCGCCATGTATGACTCAGCAAAGTATCAGAGAGGTCCCATGCATGTGTCGAGTAATGTGGCATAGATGTGTCAGGTAAGTCTCGGAGACGATACAAACCACGTTTCATTAAGGTGTCAGGAACGTCTCTGTACATCTCTGGGATGGCTCAAATGCGCGTGTCTGAAACCGGCGTTTTGTATTACATGTAACGTAAATGTACACTACATGACACATCTCTGAAAGCTATCACATCTCAGTTGGGATGTATCAATTACATCACTGAAAAGTCTCCGTGTTTACTGGGATGTTTCATAAATTTAATCTATTTAATGTGATCACCAGTTTCGGACCAATATAATAAATTTTCTGATGAAGGTTGCAACGTCAACCGAAATATATTAAATTTATCAAAGAATGGTCTTTAAATTTGGCTTGCCACCTTTATGCCTACTGGACTAGGACTTCCCCCAACTTAACCACCCAATAATAGTTACCAGTACCTAGTGCTAAAATAGATTCTGGACCTCGGTGCAAAAACCAGTCATGACCCTCACTTGGAGTTTCGAGTAAACAAGAAAAAATCACTTCTAACCGTTGTTGATAATGCTTGCTGATTGATTCTTTTTGAAAGCTTGTAGGAACTGTCGACAGCTATTTTACTGATGGAAATAATGTTTTAAATTTTTACACATTTACTATAATTAATGATTTATTTTGCACATGACTGGTTCTTGCAACCAAGGGTTCCTAATTTTTTTAGCAAAGGTAAGTATAATTCATAAGAAATAGATGTTATTTTTATTTTAAGTCAGAAATGTTAAAAAATAAAGAGAAATAAAAAACACGACAAACAAACAAAAAAGTAATCCTGGCACTTATATGGGCATTCTGTGCACCTTACTCTGAATCCTCCCCACTGGATTCGCCTCTCCTTAGTGCGCTGTAAAGTGATTGGGCTACTTGGGGAACGTATTTTTGCACTATCAGCATGATACTGTCATATTGCTTGTACTTTATAAGTAGGTTTTCGAAATAAGCCCTCGGAGCTTGGTTAAAGTCACGAGAGTGAATCCCCGTATGGAGTCCAAGCAGTGGCTTTCTGTTACAAAGACTTGATTTGGATGTTCACTGCTATACACGAAATTTTTGTATTTCGATACGGTAAACGGGATTTTATTCACCGAAACGGTTTTTTTGAAAAATGGCTGAAGGAATGTTTTGTAATCAAAAATCATTTCTTTGGTAACCCGCTGCACAACAAAATTTTTCCCACATTTCTCGACCAGTGAATACCATTCGTCTGGAGTGGAAAGCAATTCCTTTCTGCGCTTTTCTTTCTCGATTTTTCCAAAATCCCTGTCACATGGCAAGAAGCTGTGGCCTGGTTCGAGCACATGGTGGACAATTTTGGATAAAAATCCGTTTTTAACCATCGACAAAAAAAATGAATTATCACGTTATCTTGTTCTGCCCGGCACAGTTATCTGTAAAAATATATAGAGCGCGGACGTTCTTGCTCAAATAGTTGTCGATGTAGTGCTTTAAGACGGACACCGTTTTTTATTATTTTTATAAAATTGTAACCAGCTTTTTATGGGTACTTTTATTGCATCTCTTAAATATAGGTACCTAAGCTGAAGGGGACTTATAGAATAGCCCCAAGGATAGTTTCTGTTCGCTTCTTGAGTATGCCTGTTTAGGCTTGTGAAACAAGCACATATTGATTAAAGTGTGTAGCTCGTTCGGTTTCTTCTTAAGCACTTCTAATGTGGTTCTGTTAGCGGTAATTTTTTACAACATTCTGTCTTTGTGCAGAAGTTGCTTTCGAAGATTTTTAATGGTGCCTTTTAATTTTTCAATTTTCGGCAATAGTTGAGCTCTTGAATGTTTTCGTTGACGAGAATTTTGCAGATGTCAATTACTTGACCTTGTGGCTAATGTAAAAGGATATTTATCGAAATTTACATATCTATAAAGTGACATCTTTCGAAAGTGATTGACTTAACGGAACGTCTTAATTTCTAAAGATGAAATTGCTTTTAATTTTAAAAACCTTTACTTAAATTTGTCCTTTCGTATCTTTTTTTTTTTTAATTAATTTTTATACCGGATCAACAACTAAATAGTTGTTATACACAGGATCAATAACTTATGGTACTAAAGAAAAACAAACATAACTATATAGCTACTTACAATAAGTTAATAGTGAATTTTATGTAATTATACGTATATTATAAGTACATGTCTTGTGACATTTTCCTTTTTAGTCTTTTGTAAATGTTTATTTTTCCGATGTTGTATTCACCAGCACTTTTGCACAAGTGCATGTTTTGTTTAAATTTTATAACACTTTCTTTTATAAAATCGTGTATTGTAGGAATTTTTAGTTCGTTGTGTATTTGATCGTTTCTTACAAACCACGGCGCGTTTAATATCACTCGTGTCACTTTATTTTGGAGTTTCTGTAATTTTTTAGGTTGGTCTTTGAAGTATTTCTCCATACTTGGCACCCATAGCAGATTATTGGTCGTATCAGTGAGGTAAATAAGAGTAGCGAACACTTGTTTTTAAGAGATGACCTGCGATTGATTAAGGGATATAGGTTAATTAGTCTTATATGTGCTTGAGTTAGCTTTTTATTAATATGGTAGCTCCATGTTAAGCGAGTATCGAGATATACTCCTAAATATTTGACGGCTTGATCTCTTGGGTTCCATTGTATGGGTTTTCCATTAATAGCAATGTTCTCGATGTTTTTGATTTGCCTCAGTGTAAAAACAGTGACACATTTGTCAGCATTAATTGTTGTGTTCCACTTATCGAACCATTTGCATGTGTTGTCTACTGCTTTTTGTAGTCTGCGTACTGCTTCGTGGATGTCCGAATCTTGTATAATTAAGACAGTATCATCTGCGAACATCGCCACTGAAGAAAGGTTAGAGGGAATGTCTCTCATATAGATGTTAAAGAGGAGTGGCCCGAGGATGCTTCCTTGTGGAACTCCGGCTTTTATATCCTTCTTTTTTGATAATTTCGAATTAATTTTTACTGAGAAGGTTCTGTTGTCAAGAAATGATAGGAGTATGGCTTTTATGTAATTTGGTAGTTTTAGTAGTAAAAGCTTATATTGAAGTTCCTCTATCCATACTTTATCAAAAGCCTGGGCAATATCCAAGAAACAGGCCGCAGCATATTGTTTATTTTCAAAACTTTCCTCAATCATCTCAGTTAATCTAAGTAGTTGGTGTATAGTACTGTGGTGTTTTCTAAATCCAAATTGGAAAGTGGGAAGCACATTATCTTCCATACTAGTTTGAATTCGATCGTAAATGATTTTTTCGAGCAGTTTAGACATTGTTGTTAGCAGACTTATTGGTTGGTAGCTTTGGGGTTTCTTTTTATCTTTTCCAGGTTTATGGAATACTAAAATATTAGCATGTTTCCAGGATTCCGGAAAATACCCTAATCGGAGACAGGCATTGATGAGTGATGCCAGAAAAGCTAGGAATTTGTTAGGTAGGTGTTTTAGGACTATATTAGGAATAAGGTCATGACCGGGACTTTTCTTTAATGGTAGGTTGTTGATAAATAGCTTAAGTTCAGAGGGTGACGTGGGTTTAATTTGATCAGGAATAGGTACGTGTGTTTCAATGTAGTTTGTGACTGTATTATGGTGATTACTGTTGCTATAGTTTGGGGTAAATACTTTCTCCAGATGGTGACTAATGTGGCATTTTTCTTCATCTGTTGAGTATTTCTGATTATTATCCATTGTTATTGGTGGCATGATTTCGTGTTGATTAAGGATTTTTTTGTCGCTTTCCACATCTGTGGGTCATTGGGTTCGAATTCCTGTATATATTTTTGATACGATTTAAGTCGAATTTTGTCTAATTCTCGTTTAATCTTGTGCGTCAAGTTGTTTAAAAGTGTTTTGGTTTGTGGATTTTTATTTCTTTGGTAGTCTATTCTTGTTGTGCTCTTCATTTTTATGAGCCATAATATAAGCTGGGGTATGCTGTTTTTGTCTGATGTTTTTGGTTTTGGTGTTTGTTGCTATTTTTACACTTTCTATTATGTTTGCAGTGTAAACGTTTACAAGTGTATCTATGTCTTCTTTGGTTTCTAATCGTTTACGGCCAGCAGAAGCGTTATTCAGTGTATTTTGAAATACAGGGTGATTCCTATAGTACCTGCCACCGTTTGGGAGCGTGTAGGTGGTGCGTAGGGGAGTATTTTGATATAGGACACTTGGGGTCGGAAATCTAAAATAAGGGTGCCAGAGCCAAATTTACCTTCTGGAATTTCGCGCCTGTAGGTTGGCAACCCAACCGGCCGGCGGTGCACACGGGCGCTAGTGGGCTGCGAAATAGGAGGAGGTCGGTGTAAACAAACAAACTTTTCGAAATGGGTGCTTAAATAACCCAAGTATCGATGTGCATCACGAATCTGTGTGTAAAGTTAAGCCTCCGTCAGCTTACCTGCAATTGCCCTGTCTCGCACAGTCGGAAGTGAACTTCTTGAAAGACCTGTCTGCAGGGTAATTGACGGTTTGGATACCGCTCAGCGTACGCTCGTCGTGCAGCTCGTGCGTTACCATTTGCCAATCCGTACATGAAGTGCATGTCCGCGTATTCCGTGTTAGTAAAACGTGCCATAGTGTTTATTCACTTAATACGCGTCGTTGCAGACGGGATTTCGTGGGTTTAAACAAAATTCTGATCAAGTGTCAGCCACACATCGCCGCCTGAGATCGCTCCGTGTGCACCGCCGGCCGGTTGGGTTGCCTACCTACAGGCGCGAAATTCCAGATGGTAAATTTGGCTCTGGCACCCTTATTTTAGATTTCCGACCCCAAGTGTCCTATATCAAAATACTCCCCTACGCACCACCTACACGCTCCCAAACGGTGGCAGGTACTACAGGAATCACCCTGTATATACTTAATTTTTTTTAAATGCGAACAGAGGAGTTTGCATGCAATGTAATTTCCCTATGTTCGATTTTAAAAAAAACACATCAATCTATTGAGTAGTTCAAATGAGTAGTAGATACAATTGACAGCTGTCATATTTTTAAAAATACCGCCGTCCAATTTAATTACGAAATCGGTTAGGTTATTGATTATGCTCAAGGAGGACACTTCGAACATTTATTGTAGTTGTTTTCGGTATTTATTTTCTTATTTTCTTCATTTATGTATTGAATAGATCAAATTAGTACAATACCAGGTGCAGATGACCTACAAATAATTGAAGGTTGGTTCACAATGAATTGTGATGTCAGGGCGTGCCATGTGAAGTCAAGTTTTCGTAAGTTTAAGAAAAATGTATCCTAAAGTTGCTATGGCCTCACGTGGCTTATTTAAAAAATCTTACCGAGCGCTCTTCATCATAACGACTATAGAGTTGCTGTTCATAGTCACACAAGTTGCGCGATTTGGGAATGTGAACCGCGCACACCTCATAGATTGATGTGTTTTTTTAAAAATCGAACATAGGGAAATTACATTGCATGCAAACCCCTATGTTCGCATTAAAAAAAAACTCACTGTATATAGTATATATGTGTTACGGCCCAAGCTCGAAACAGGGCTTTATTAATAATGACTGGGCAGTACCCGAAATGGCTAATTTATAGTGTCAAAACCCGAAATTATGTTACCGCATATTCTATTTCGGATATAGGCCAGCCATTATGAGTAATAACGTTAACAAGACGGCCTTTTCTAGAAATGAGGGGCGAACCCGTTACACACTGCTAACATCTGTTCCTGTTCGCATGTGTTACTTACTCTTAGTGTTTGTGCGTCATTCGGTCGATTTCCGAGATTAGTAAAACGTAATGGAGAATATGAAAGAGAAGTTTAATTCTAATATACAGACTCTCTTAGTTAAGAAATGTAGTACATAACTTTCTTTGCGCCCAAACAAGTTAACATAATTTCATAACCTAACTTTATTAGATAATATCGTGTTGTGGTTGTTGTACGTTCGTATTTGATGGTGTTGCATTTTAATAGATATGATTGTTTTGTAAAGCAAGGAAAGAGGAAAATAAGACACTTTCAAATAATTGTAACTATACTTAAAAATGTAGTAAAACGAAAAAAAATTAAATATGCTATGAATAAATATGTGTTGTTCTTTTCAGCTGATAGCACAAAAATTTTTACCCACGACGTTTACTGTCGATTAATTGAAGAAGTAAAAGCAGCCAAAATCAAATTAAAAAACAGCCATTAGATTATCGTCGATTGGCTAGATTTGACGTTATTACCGTAGATGGCAAGACAAAACTCATTCAGCCTTTTACCACGGATGACGCTACAATTTTATACTACTTGGAAAAAGATGAATTATTTGATGTTCTTCACGAAACCCATTTGAGTATTGGACATGGTGGGCGCACTAGGATGTTAAAAGAACTGCAGCGAAAATACAAGAATATCACCAAAGAAATAATAATGACATATTTAACTTTATGTAAACCTTGCCAACAGAAACAATCAATGCCGCAAAAGGGTTTGGTTTCCAAGCCGATGCTATTTAAGCAACTGAATTCAAGGTGTCAGGTAGATCTGATCGATATGCAGTCAAACGCAGATGGAGAATTCAAATATATTCTAAATTACCAAGACCATCTAACAAAGTTTCTTTTTCTAAGAGCTTTAAAGTCAAAGACAGCATCAGAAGTTGCATACGTTTTACTTGATATTTTTACCGTGATTGGTGCCCCGAACGTTCTGCAATCAGACAATGGTCGCGAGTTCGCCAATCGTGTAATTTTCGAACTTACCGATATGTGGCCAGAATTAAAAATTGTCCACGGAAAACCACCCCACAGCCACAGCCAAGGATCAGTGGAACGGGCAAATCAAGATGTGCAAAATATGTTAACAACTTGGATGCAAAGTAAGAACAATACTCACTGGGCTGAAGGTTTGCGGTTTATACAATCTATGAAAAATCGGGCGTACCATAGTGGAATACGTCAAAGTCCATACGAAGCACTATTTGGTTGCAAAGCAAAACTAGGTCTCAGTGATTCGTGCTTTCCCAAAGAAATAATTGCTTCCCTTAAAACAGAAGAAGACTTGGAAAGAGCTGAAAGTGATTTGCAAACCGATTCATCAAGAACTACAGAACAAGAAATTGCTGATACCGATTATACAGATGTTAATCAAATGGAAGCATCTAACTCAGATGATATTGAAATTGAATCAAATAACCTTGAAGACGTACAAATCGTAAACGTAATGAACACATTCACCGAGGAACAAGATTTAATAAGCAACAACGAAAATATTAAAGTAATTAAAAATATTCAAGAACAGATAAAAAATAAACGAAAAAGTGCGTATGAAAATTTGAAGATTCAAGGATCTAAAATGTTAAAAATGTCAGAAGCAAAGTTTGCAGCAATAAATGTTGGAGATAATGTAAAAATTCATGTTCCTGACGTAGATAGGGGCCGCGGCGATCCAAGAAGCATTATTGGTGTTGTTTTAAAATCAGAGGACGGGTTTTACAAAGTTGCTACTGACAGGGGAATTTTGAAGCGGTTGTACTGTAGAAGTGAATTAGCATTGTGTCCAGAAAAATTTTTGAATGTTGATTCTGTTCCGAATAAAGAAATTTCACTGCGACAAGTGGCATCTGCACAATCTCTAACAGGCGGCCAGGGATATACTAGGTGTCACTGTAATAAAAAAGTGCAAAACAAATAGATGTAAGTGTAGAAACAAGTCGCTTCTTTGCCGTGACATATATATATATATATATATATATATATAACAATACAAATATAAGTATATATATATATATAATTTTTATTATAGGAGAAATACGAAACACTAATTAAAGGAAGCATAACATATTATTTAAATCCGCCTGGGATTTAAAACAAACTATATAACAACAATGTGACTCAATAAATGATAATAAAGGCAAACTCTTTGCGTTGGGTTTTTTTTGAGGGGAAACAATAATCTAGGGGAGGAAAAAGGGATGGGGGCTAGGTAGGAACCATTGTATATATATATATACACAATACGTTGTCACTTCAAAAATAGGCACGCACAATTCGAAGTCACTTCATATACGACGTTGTCACTTCAAGAATGTGAAGTGACAACGTTTTGCGTTGTTTTCGCGCCATGACGTCACTAAACACCATTATCCGACATTTGCCGAAACCGAAGTTTGAAGTCACATCGCCAACTTGGTACCAAAAAAAATCTTTTTTAGTTGTGGCGTATATCGAAGTCGCCACTGTCGTATATATGATAAATTACGGACCACACGAAATCACTTCAACGCGTATTTAGCGAAATTTTCCGTGAAGTCACTTCATCGAGAGTAGGACATTTGACAACGACGCATTTATTCTCAAACCGTTAGCGTGAAGTGAAGACGTGCACATTTTTACGTTCTTTTTTATACATTTGGTCTTTGAAAACATGAATTCCAGAACGAAGAAAATTTTTCACAAAGCAATGGTAAGTTTTTGAGATGTCAGCTATCTAATTTTAAGTTTTTGGTTATATTTTGTTTCATGTCTTTTAATTTTAATTTTAAGGTGGGCGTTGAGTAGTGGTCGAGTTCTCTCATTTAAATGGGAAATCTCGCCTGCAAAAAAATGAGCAAATTTTTCGAAAACCTCAAGGTATCTTAATACATGATACACCATTTGCAAGAGGAGAGTCTGTAGGAGATCTTAAGGTAACTTGCGGTTCATTTTGAGTTTGGTTTGAAATAGGTAAATAATTGTGGTCAAAGAATCGCGTAAAAAAATTTTATGTTTGCTTATTATAAGACATTGTTTACTTTATGTGTCTATTAATTATCCTTATTATCATCTACATAATCTCTTCTTTCAAGTGATAAATCGTTTTATTGAAATAGATAAAGCAATTAGAAGGCTCATGTGGTGCTGGCGCGATTTCCATTTAAATGTACAAGTCCTACCACTTACTCATTTTACATAAACAAATTTTAAAAGAAGCTATATTATTCACGCTTTGTCTAACCGGATAGGTCTTTTGTTGTCTTAATCCCTTAGCCTTTTTTCACACTTAGGTACCCATTTATGGCCGCACTTTGTCCATCTGTTCGTCTATTTTTCAATGTACTTTTTAGCGCATTTTTCAAAGAAAAAAAAATGCGCTATTACGGGCGTTTTTCCGTCCGTCCGTCCAAGAGAAGGCCGAGATCTCAGCACTGGAAAGTGCTAGAAAACTCGTTAATGTCTCGTTTGATAGATAGTAGTATCCGATTAGTGCAGCAAAAAATGAGTTTGCCAAAAAACATCGAGATGATGCGCAAATTTGATAAAAAGTATCATGTATTCACTAATTTCACTATGGAAACGGCAAAACGCACTGGTTCGATGGGCCCAAACTAAATTTTGTGCTGTTCCGATGTTGGTCATCATTTGGAACAACTATATTTATTTACCATATATGCATGCGCAATGCTAACTTTTTTTTTATTAATGAACGTATTTTAATATAATTTTGTGTATAGTTACCTGGAATAAAATCAAAATTAATGCCGTTAACAAAAATTTCAAATGCGCATGCGCAATGCAAACTTTTTTATTTATTAAGGTACTTCAATGATATTTTGGATGTAGGCACCTGAAATAAAAGCAAAATTAATGCCGCTAAAAAAATTGAAATGCGCATGCCCATTGCTAACTTTTTTATTTATTAAGGTACTTCAATGATATTTTGTCTATAGGCACCTCGATTAAAAGCAAAATTAATGTCGTTAACAAAAATTTGAAATGCGCATGAGCATTGCTATCTTTTTATCTGCCGGGGCAAGGTACCAAACCACGTATGAAAAATGCGCTATCGTTGTTGGTACATGTGCGGAAACTTTACCACTTGTTTTAATTTCATTTTTATCTTTTAACCATCTTCATACCTACTTACCCACTTGTTAATGGTATTGATTGTTTGTTCATTAACTTCACTTGTTTTTTTAGGGAATTTCTAAGCAATATTTACCACCGGCTAGGAATACTGACAAAATGGAAATAACTAGAGTAAGTTGATATTATTTTGTTAAGCGGTTGGTGTAGTATTCGCGCTAACTCCCTTAAGGTGGATTTATATGTGCGGAAACTTTACCACTTGTTTTAATTTCATTTTTATCTTTTAACCATCTTCATACCTACTTACCCACTTGTTAATGGTATTGATTGTTTGTTCATTAACTTCACTTGTTTTTTTAGGGAATTTCTAAGCAATATTTACCACCGGCTAGGAATACTGACAAAATGGATATAACTAGAGTAAGTTGATATTATTTTGTTAAGCGGTTGGTGTAGTATTCGCGCTAACTCCCTTAAGGTGGATTTATAGCTATCCGTTTGTACGTCTCCGTTGGTCCGTTAACCAATAAGGAGACAGTAAAATTTTAAATTTAAAAATTTACTGTCTCCTTATTGGGTAACGGACCAACGGTGACGTACAAACGGATAGCTATAAACCCACCTTTAGCGTATTAACTGTTTTCACAACAATTTTGTCTAAATTGCACATTGTCAGTTTTCTGACAATGTGAGTGACTGTAACACCTACGTGTGGGTTTTGAACAATTTTTTATTAAAAACTTGTTGTTATTGTAGGATTGGATCGAAAATAGTTTTCATTTAGATGCTGCTGTTCCTTTAGAACCACCTAAAAATACACAAACAACAAATGATAATAAAAGTAATTCTTCTCCAGAATTAGGAGCTGACGTTAATATACCTGAAATCAATGACGAAATTCGCATACAAAGTGGCTGTTGTGAACTCAAAAGCTGTGATTGCAGTCTTATATCCGGAACACCTAGCAATACCCTAACTAGTGAGGTAATGAATATATATCGTATAAAATACCAGTTATTTCAATTAAAAATTAATTACCTAAAGCATTCATCGCCATTTTGCATTGACCGGCGTCGAAGTAAGACAAATAAAATATCTCCAATACTTACTGGTGATATAGATAAATCCGATACTATAAATCCTAGTTTTGGAACAAACAATATTGTTGATACAAACCTCGATACTAACACAGGAACCGAATTTGATGTGAGTATATACAATTAATTTGTATGTTAGCCCAGGAACATTGCAAAAGTTTGAAGGTGCATCCGAACAGGAGAGGGGATAAGCTTAAAATTGCAATACAGTGTTCTGATGCAGTACAGAATATAGAGAAAAAACTCCCCGAAAATCCAAGTGGAGTTTCATGATAAGGTTCAAATTAGGACATTTCTTTTTTTTTATTTAAATATTTTTCACTAAAACTGACTCCTGATAACAAAATTACTAAAATGTCATAATTTAAAGCTTATTTGGCTTATCTCCTTTCATGTCCGAGTTTCAACCTATTATTCCTGGACTAAAGAAAAATATTCCAATTCGACGTATTGAGAAGTTTACTCTTAAACTGCTTTAAGATTTTGCTTGGTTTATCCCAATGTCACTCAATGCAAAACAATATAACTCCAAACACTGATCATTTTAACTACATTTCTGGAGATTCTATTTTGGTAACGAACAATATAGTCGATATTAACACAGGAACGGAATATGATGTAAGTATGTGCTATGCACATTTTTTTTTTGGTATAATTTTTTAAATTGGACGCATTTAGATGTTTACTCTTAAATTGATTTTCTTTAAGACTTTATCTGCCTCTTTGCAATTGCACCCAATAGAAAACAATATAAACACAAACACTGATCAGCATAAATATATTTCTGGAGATTCCGATGATAGCCGAGATAGAGACTACGTGTGTGAAAGTGATTTGACGTCAGAAAGCTCCCAGTCTTCTGCTACCAAGGATTCCGAAAACGAAGTTATAGACATAATGGAAACTGAAAAAGAAAATTTTATTCCTAGAAAATCTAAGGAAAAAATAAAGGATAAAGCGAAAAGTAAAAACGATCATTTTTCCAATACAGAAGCGCAAAGTCGAGTGTTCAACATTGATGAACTAATAAAACAAGTCAGTGGCATTTTTTTCTATTTAATAGATTTACTTTTTAATTTTATGTAGATAAATCTTCAATTTTACAATTTTTATTTTCAGAAAAGAAATGTCAATGACAAAAAGCAAGTTTTATGTAAATATTGCAAATGCAAAATTGCCACAAAAAATTTCGCAAGGCATTTGGAATCGCACCATAGAGATGAAAACGAAGTCAAAAAGATGTTACAGTATCCTCGCAAAAGTAAAGAAAGGAGACAAGCTTTCAGTTTGTTTAGGAATCATACTAACTTTGATCAGTATATTGAAGGCGTGATTTGTCCATATCGCGAAACAATAAAAAAAAATTCTTTGACATATTACCCTTGCATATACTGCAAAGGAGTTTTTCAAAAAGAGTATCTAAAACGCCACTCGAAGTTATGTGTTATGCAAAACAGTAGAAAAGAGTTATCTAGCAATGGACGAAATTATTATATTACTAACTCCCAAACTGCAATTGCGTGTGCCATGGATACCACAAACGTAATCTCAAGATTAAATGTAAAGGAACTGGTAAGTATTACTTATTGCATTGCAAAACTGAATATATAGGAATCCTTTTTAACCTTCTTACATAATTTTTCATACTTGCGTGCATTTTTCAAAAAAAAATTTTAAAAATAGCTATTGTGCACTCTTTGTCAATTCGTCTATCCCTCAATCTACTTTCTTTATGGAAACGCCTTTAGATCTTAACCCCTTAGCTTTTATTTATTAAGTACTTATACTCACCCATTTGCAAAATTAAAAAAGTAAGTGTCTATTTATTCCCCAATCTATTTTTTTAGGTATTTTCTATCATGAAAGGGGATGAGATATCCTTAGTAGCAAAGAAAGATCTTCTTATCGCCAATTTTGGAGAATCGTATCTAAAAAAACATAAAAGGGAACGCAAAGAGTATGCTTGCAGCTCTAGGATGCGTGAACTTTCGCGTCTACTAATTGCGTATCGGGAAATTGTTAACGATTCTAAATGCTGTTTAAAAGATATTTTAAAACCAAAAAATTTCGATCATTTTTTGGCAGCTACGAGAAAAATTACTGGGTATAACCCAACAAATAAATTATTCAAAGCTCCAAGCCTTGCCATGCATTTAGGAACATATTTAAAAGACATATGTGACGAATGTACTCATCTCGTATTAAAGGAAAGCCCTGGATTTACTTGCCAATCAGAAAGCGAAACCGAACTGTTATTACAAGAAATTAAAAAATTTAAAAAGCTACTAATATCAAGATGGAACACTGAAATTTCGAGTTTGGCAAATAAAGATTTGCAAGAAAAAAAATGGAATAAACCGCTTCTTGTGCCGCTAGTCAATGATATAAAGATATTTAGAGAAGAAGTACTGAAAATGGCAGAAGATTGCGTTAAAAAGTTTGTAAATCATATCGATGACATACATACGTATAAACTATTAGTTCAATGTTCCCTGTCACTTTTAATACTTTTTAATCGCAGACGTATTGGTGATGTACAGTATCTGAAAATACAAGATTATATGAGACAAAATAAATCTAGTATGAAAGATTTTGAATCTGCCCTAACAGAATCAGAAAAGGCTTTGACAGCTAAGTATAGACGAATAGTAAATAGTGGCAAAGGTTCAAGGCAAGTTGTAATATTATTGCCGGAAACATTAGAAAAATATATTAACGTATTATTAGAACACCGTAAAAAATACATGTTGGAGAAAAATGAGTATGTTTTTGCGATACCACAGAGCAAAATTAAGTGGGGTCAGGGGGACGTTGCAATAAGATACCTTTGTAGCAAAATTAAATTAGAGTATCCCGAAGCAATTTCTAGTAACAAATTAAGAAAACACATTGCCACGGTCACACAAATATTAAATCTGTCAAAAGAAGATATTGCTCAGTTTTCCAAATTTATGGGTCACACGGAAAAAACGCATGCCGATTTCTATGAGTAAGTGGACATTTAAAATTTGTTGTATTGTATTATATACTTACCGTATGTAGACTGCCAGTGGACATATACCAAACTGCCAAAGTTTCAAAATTGCTACTTATGATGGAAAAAGGATCCTTACCTACAGAATTTAAGGGAAAAACATTATCTCAGATCGAATTTGACGAAAATACAGAATACGCTGAAGAAAATGTTGAAGGTAACAAAATGTTTAGCAACATTCTTTCAGTGCAATTTTTATAACTTTTTAGAACGTGCCATGCCAAGAAAAGAAAGTATTGGTTCTACATCCGCTGCTACGGATTTTATTGATGAGGGAGAGAAATCAAAAAAAGACATTGCTTCCACGTCCACTGCTTCGGACTTCATTGACGAGGGAGCGACACCAAAAAAAGATCTAGCTCCCAGATCTATTAATTTACATCATAATCGAACTTGCAGTGTTCAAGGTGATCATACATTTTATTATTAGATAGTACTATCAAAAAAGATTCCGTGTCAGTGACGCGGTACTGTGTAGTACATTTAACAACGTAACAGCATTGATTTTGAATAGGTATTCCTTATTATGTAACAAATCATACAATTTCTTACAAACAAGGTATTTTTTGGTTTTGAATTTTTATAAAATTGACTTTTAGATTTGGACTCTGATACAGATGAGCAAGAACCAAAAAAACAAAAAATACAAAAAAGAGTAAGGTTTCCTTTTTAATGAATTCAAACTTTTAAGGTGCATTTTTTTAGGTTGGACCGCACATGAAATAAATCAGGTATCAAAAACGTTCGGAAATTTTATTAAAAAGAAAATCTATCCACCCCAACAACAAATCTTAGATTTCATTAAGAAGATGGGTAGTAAAAGATCTCCAGCGCAAGTGAAATCCAAATTGCAACATTTAATAAAAACAACTACTTAAAAACTATCTTGTTTTTGGTTAAGTTTTATAATCACTGCACTTATATAATATATAGTATGTCCAAAAGATCGTGTTAAGCATGGGGATCTCGGAAACGGTAAAAGATACAGATTCGGTTAAATGGGAGAAAATGTTTAGCACAAAAATATTGGTTAACCGGTACATTAACAGTTTAAAAAATTTTATTCGTTTGGGCCCCATAGCGGAAAAACTAATATTTTCCGTTTTCATCTTTTCCCTGTAACTTTTTTATTTGAAGAGATACCTTCAAAATTATCTCAACCATGGTATCGTTAGAAAGGAAATTGAGAGCACTTTCGATTGATGCCATAGCCGCCTATTATTTACATTTAAAAAAATATAAGTTTGGGTTATAACACCGAAACTTGGAAAGGTATTGAAAATCTAATAAATTATTATTAATCTGCGTAAAAAAGTGCCTTAATAATGCCAAAGAATTTTGAAGGTATCTCTTCAAATAAAAAAGTTACAGGGAAAAGATGAAAACGGAAAATATTAGTTTTTCCGCTAGGGGGCCCAAACGAATAAAATTTTTTAAACTGTTAATGTACCGGTTAACCAATATTTTTGTGCTAAACATTTTCTCCTATTTAACCGAATCTGTATCTTTTACCGTTTCCGAGATCCCCATGCTTAACACGATCTTTTGAACACACTGTATATACAATAATAGACGTAGGTACATGCATGTAATATTTTGATACTTTAAATATATTTCTTATTAGAAATTGCTTTGTATTATTAATACCGATTAAATTAGTGAGACATAACAATATGCAACGCCTTTTGGTGGAATGCGGTGGATATCAAATGTTCCGGGAATAACTGCATCTGGAAATGAGAGATGTTAGATAAGAAAGTTCAGTAATATACAAAGAAAGTACTTACCTTTCTAGATAGAGTTAACCTAAAATACAAAATTTTGTTTTATTATGACCATGATTTCGACGCCCTAAAATCAAAACAAAAACAAAATAAGCGTTAATTTTTGCTTCATACATTTCATTCTTATTAGAAATTGGTTTGTATTATTAATACCGTTTAAATTAGTGAGACATACAATATGCAACGCCTTTTGGTGGAATGCGGTGGATATCAAATGTTCCGGGAATAACTGCATCTGGAAATGAAAGATGTTAGATAAGAAAGTTCAGTAATATACAAAGAAAGTACTTACCTTTCTAGATAGAGTTAACCTAAAATACAAAATTTTGTTTTATTATGACCATGATTTCGACGCCCTAAAATCAAAACAAAAACAAAATAAGCGTTAATTTTTGCTTCATACATTTTCAATGTTTCATTGAAAATGTTTCGAGGGAATGAATTAAATAAGTTAGCTTACATAATGCATAAATACATTAGATAACTTCAGTTAACTACAATGCTGTCATCATCAGCAAACAATATGGTTTTTGTGGATTTTGGCGTAATAATAATAGTAATATAATGTAATCATAGAATGTAATATGAGCCAACCGCATATATCAGAAAATGGGAATTAATCGTACCTTCCGACTTCACAAATGATGCAACACTGCATGAAGTGACTTCGTCCGACAAGTAACTAACAAAATATATATCCCGTGAAGTAACAACGCATTTAGTTTAACTGTTATTAATATACGATTTTTTTTGCAAAAATGCTTTCCCCTCTCTTGAAATTTGGATTACATGGGGTCCCCTCAACAGAGAAATGCAAAGATATATAAATAAAATTCACAAGTAGTGAGTGAAGTCGGGTCGTCATATGTTTAACTGTGAAGTGACAGCGAATTACCTATACATATATATATATATATATATATATATATATAATATATATATATATATATATATATATATATATATATATATATGATGATTGAATTTTACACGAAATCGTATTTCAATAATATAAAATTTCAATTTTTATATAGAACTTTTGATTAATGTCGATCTGTTAGTGATGACAGGAGTCATTATAGACATTCACAAATGCGGCTGGTAAAGTGGCGGTGCGGCCAGTAAAGTGACAAGCGACAGGAGACGTAGTCTGCTCTGCTCTGAAAGTAGGCATGAAAAAGGTTTCAGGACGATTTTGGGTAAAAGCATTTTTTCTTGTACCTTGTTCCTATATATTCACAATATGTATCGTGAATATATTGAGTCCTGCTATGTTAGACCGCATATTAGAGTAGCACTAGTTCATAATTGCATATGTACTAAAAATAGAAGCGCCCATCTCTTATGTACTAGCACAGATTTAAATATACTATAGATATATCATGCCAAACTAAATTAGTGTTATTCCGCGTCCACAAGGAAGCGCTGCAGAATGAATAACTTGCGCGTGGTTTACAACATAAGAAAGACCAGAGAACTCTCGCGATAAACAACCCAACTAGCAAAGATATTTTATAATTCCTAACTGTTCGTGCTATTTTATTATATAATTGCTTTATGCAATATTGTTTTATAAGGGAGTCGTAAGAACGTTCTTTGCGCAAAAATACAAAACAGTTTTAAGACAAATTATAATAATAATAATTATTTTATAAACGTTTACACGAAAACTTTATACGACATTTTAGCTTACCGAACAAATTTGTTTCATAATAGATTTATACTGGTGTTATCTGATACTAGTTTGTTCCTTTGCGAACATCTATAAAACTGTTTTATTAGCGCTATGTGAAACGTTTATAAAATTAATTTATTAATGTTTTCTTTTCGATATTATTGCTGTCTAAAGCATATTGCACTCAGACGTAACCTTAAAAACATTATTATATAATTATCATGAACACTGTCATAACATAATACTACCTATATATAATAATTATAAATTGAAATTTATTATGTTTTAAAACCCCGTTCTTATATGTAATTTGTTCTTGTTCTATTATTTTCATTAAACAATTTGTTCCTTTAAAAAAAAATTAGACCTTATATATTTAAAAAAAAAAAAAAAATTATAAAACAAAAAAATGTTTGTAAGGATACAATAGTTATTTATATAACAAGAGCGCGAAGTTCAATTTCGCGCATTGAGACTGAAGGTATTTTGACGAGGCGAAGCCGAGTCAAAATATCAGTCAAATGCGCGAAATAACATCGCGCTAGCGTTATATACAATATTTTTTCTACAACTGAACCGATTGTTAATTAAATTTGCTGTTCAACTTTGTCACGTGCGCGAAATACTTTTTTTCACTGTTGACGATTTCGCGCACGTTGTCAATAGCAACCTTACTTATTAATTAACCGTTTCAAAATCTAGTACTTCGCGTTTCGAAATCCGTCAGAAAATGACAGGTTTTTTTAACAGTTGTAGAAAAAAGCATTTATTAATACATTTATAAAACGCCATTTTACTATTACTTTTTGATCTCAGAAAGTTAAAAAAACTGGAGCATTTTACAGTAGTGAAGAAGTGCTACCAAAATATCTTAGGAGGTGAAGTTATTATTGGTAATAATACACTAGATCTCTCTATAAAGGAAGCAGCAGGTGACCCATCAGATACACCAAATCATTTCACTTCACAAGTAACGCGCCGTCCAGCAACTATCGTCCTCGTACCGAAAACTGACATTTTTTGTACTAATGAAACAAATAACTATTTGCTCAATAAGGCAAGTATTAATGTAAGAGTTTCTTGACTTGGCTACATCAAGCAGTTAAGAAACCATCCTGGAAAGTAATAGTCCACGTTTAATTTGAATCATATTTCAGAAGTAAAAATGGATGGAACAATAACCCATCTTGCTTACAATTTATGAGAACAATGAGGAGATTATTGCTCCACACCAAAATTAACCAGGGCTCCGGGAATTGTAAAGTGTTAGGCGCCACCACTGTTCTAAGTGTACCAAGCACTGCCACACATTCTGAACAAGCAATAGATGTATCATTGTACCGAAAATATAATTATGCTTTTGAGCCAAAAGATCAAATACTCCATCATGATTATGTGTGCAGTGAAACAATTGACCTAAGTGAAATCATATCAAATGTTGTCACTTATATGTGGATATGCAATTAAGATAAAAAAAAACTCGACATAAATGTGAACAATGTGTGCTGGCATGTAAATCGCAGGAAGACATTACAAAAGGTTCCTATTCTCTAATTTCCTTTAAAAACAGAGGTATAGTCAGATGTTTGAAAAGTCCTTATTTAACTAATATTTCTTTAAATTGCAAGAGGCTTATATGTACCATCAATTGCAATTGTGAAAATTTGCACAAAAGTAGAGATTGCAATTAGAAACATTCAACTGGAAACAAAATTCCAAATGAAAAAGGTTTCATGGAATATTTTGTCACCGCCATTGCACAAAAATTTTACCAAGAACTGTACACGTTATTTCCTAGTTTGCGTGATCATTTTCTAGAATTTAATATTTGTGACGAGAATCACGGGTTTTTACTGATCAAAAATATCATTTTTTCGTATTGTAGAATAAGGTTTTTTAATTTGGCGAAAAAGTACACAGAAAAAATACAAGGTTCTGCGGTTCGAAGAGAACTAAACAAATTGATACTGTTTAACCACCAATAAAGTATAATTGTCAACCAGTTTCCAACTTCTCAAGAACCAAATTAGCGAACGTATGACGTTTCATGTTTGTGGTCTTGACGCTTCAGTTCTTGGACTAATTATTAACATTGTAGGTAGTTTCACAACTAGGGAATGTATCGATGCATTGTGATATAGGCAACATAATATACTTGTTCAACGTGTAAGGAAACGCACGGGAACTTTTTGAAAGCACATTGTATGTAGTTTTTAACAAGTCCCCGTAGCATATACTTAGAAGATGGCGACATTCAAAATCTGACTATTTACGCATGTTGACACACATCTCCCCACATCTATATCTCTGGGTTGAACCAGTACTAAATCGAAAATGTCGTTTTACGAGTAGAGCGGAGTTAACTCCGGGAAACTTAACATGCCTTAGTGAGATGTAGTCTTCTTATATATATATGAAAACTTCCTAACACACTGAAACTACCCACACAACTTACCCTTGCTAGCTCAATTTCACTAAAACTCTTTGAAACACAATAAAACATAAATCTCAGGGCCCGTAAAATGAGTCCGACTACCCTTTTTTTCGTCCGGACTAGGGGTAGCAACCTCGCCAGGTCGGTGGCTACCACCTCCCTTAAATTCCAAATAAAATAAACCCTTGTTAACTGACTTCTGGAATGAAATTTAAGTCCCACCGATGATCCAAACCTTTTTACGTTACCAAACTCGTTTCACACTCGGGATAAAAAAAGAAAACTTAAAATTTGAGAAACTCGAATCGTTGACCTTTACTTTGACACACAAATAATAAATGACAATAAAATTTACAAAGCTAAATGCACAAAATCTGAAAATAATAACTTAACACGAATTGAAACACAAAACCGTCTTAGACGGCGATTCTTACAATTAAATTAAAACAAAAATGACAGTACTCACGATCTGTGTACAAGCTAATCCTTTTTACAAATGCACAAACGACTGATGCACACAAAAACACAAACACAACCCCAGGTATGTGCTGACACTGTACAGCTACTCCAACAGCTCCTCGGCGATGCTGGAGTTAAACAAACGTTCCGCCATGTCCAGACAATGTAAAATACAATGCAAACGAAGTCTCGCTGCTAAAATGGCGTTATTGTACCGCTCGTTTCCCTTCAACAAACTCCTTCCAAAGACCTTCTTAAACTCCTCGATGCCGGCGTAATTCAAACGTTCCCGGACTTTCAAATAACAATAAACGATGAATAAACTGGCGGAACTTTAGCAAACGCCGCTACAATAAACTTTCCAAAAATTTTCACGTAAGACAACACGTAGACTTCGCGAAACGGTACAATAAGCGCCTTCTCTTCGCTGTTCAAACCATTTATACGCCACCCATCGTCAAATCTCGTTGCGACGCTTTTCCATATAAAATTTGAATTTCGGAGCCGATAAAACTAAACGGTCGACTCCGCGGATCAATAACATAATTGCATAAATAAAACTATTACCGATCGTAAATCAACTTAGACTGGCACTTTTACGAGTACACGCCAAAATTCCTATGAAATTCGCTCTTAAACAACTAAACGTTTCCTTATCTAAAGTAACACTTGTGCAAAGCGCGTGCACTCTGCTAACTTCCACGAATTTAACAATAACAAGACAAAATTTATTACATTTAAAATTTTAATTACGGATTCGATTTTCCCAGACTTAAGTTTCTTAATTAACTCCGGCCGAGCATTAATTGAACTAAAACAACGATCCCATAAAAATGGGAAATAAACTTCTTTCCAGAGTAAATAAATGCCGTCCAACTGCGGCCTAATAAAAAACACTATATATATATCGCTACTGCGCGTGAAAAAGTGATAAGTCAAAGAAGCGGCTTTTGAGAAAACTTGCGTTTAAATTCTGACTAGACTTCAAATGCTTCTGACGTGGCGTTTTCATGAATGATTTTAATATTGATTTCGTGCATTATGTTTATTTATAGTAAATTCGACGTCAAACTGAATTTTACTTTATGCCCTAAGGACTTCTTGAGGACTTAACTCATTTTTCACAGCTTCTTTCTGACTTAGCTTAGTTACCACCTTTCAACCAAATTTTTTAAAATAATCTCACAGTATAAAAACTTAAACGTAAAACACATAAAAAAGATTACAAACTTTTATTTAAAAAAGAAACAGAGTAATTATCAAATACAAAAGAAATAAAAAATGTTTTTAAT